CATCCTGAAGCCCCGACCACTGCAACACCACGACCGGCAACCCAAACGTTGCACCTAAGATGGCGGAGGCCATATGCGGCGGAGCCGAGACCAGAGAATCCAAAGGCTATCACCCTGCATTAACAACAATCAGAGCAGATCACAAGCAACAGCGACTCCGACACCAACAACAGTCGGATACACGCACGCACTCTCGCACCTTAACAGGCCACCCACCTTTGAGACCTGCCTTGGGACCTAAAGCCCGGCTCTAAGACAGGCCCGAAATAGGCAGTGGAGAGAGAGGCAAGGCAAGCCAGCACACGCCAAACAACAGACTAAGAGAGCATAACCCACGACGCTCCACTCTCCAGATGCATCAAGATCCAGACCAGTCATGCCAGATGCCGCACTCCACTCCCGGACTGCCATACAACAACACCTACCAATGTTGCAACACACGCGGACAGCCGAGCACACTAAGCCCACATAGGGCATAGGCTAATCAGAGCCACACAAGGACGCTCACCTTTACAACATGCCATACCAATGTAATTCTAAATAATGAAGATAGGGCACAACTGAAATTCTCCTAGTCTCACAGGACCAGCCTTACTAACCTGTACATGTGTGATATATGGGCGGAAGGGTGAAGCATCTATGTGTAACCAAGCATAGTGTCACCAAAGTTAAGCTTAAACGTGTTATATGTTTGTTAAACAGTGCTATAACTTGCAGCAATGTTAGCTAGAACCACAAATATTGACCATACCAAAAGCGCAGTTTTATTGAATATGATTATTAAGCCACAGTTATTATACTAAAAATGTGCCGATTAACCCATTGCTCCTACTGTCATGCATGAAATTACGCTCGAGGACTGTTTTTGGGTCACCAAGAGCTTGTATGTCTTTATCTCAACGCACAAAAAAAATAAAGAATTAAATAAAATAAAAAATTCGGGACTTCGGCTTGGCACTTCGGGTAAGTGTAGGGTTTGGGTTAGGGTTGGTTTAGGGGTAGGGTATGGTTAGGGGTAGGGTTAGAGCTAGGATTAGGTTAGTTGTAGGGTTAGAGTAGGGTTGGTTTAGGAATAGGGTTACCCTAACCCTACCCCTACTCCAACCATTAACCCTAACCCCAACCCTCTCCTGTTTTGCCACTTTTCAGAAATCTGAAGCACTTCAGCACGTCCAAAATTCGTCAATTCGGTTCGGCATTCCGAAATTCAGCACTTCGGACATTCGGAAGCATCCGAATTTAAGAAATTCGTCCCAATTTGCATTTGGAACTAAACGAATTGCACGTGTCTATTAGACAGAAAAGTAGGCATAAAGTCAAGTTGTTCTAGGGTCCTGCCTAGATTTGGAAGGAGATCTGCTTTCCTGTTTTTCTTACAGGATATTGAACCATATTACTAAAAGCAATGCATACCCACTATGATTAATAATAGGATTAATAACATTGATTAGTCACATATTCCTTCAGTGATGTCATGTATTACAACTTAATTATCACAGGCTTTTGTATTCTATAGATGCCATGACTTATTGTATCTCACATTGCTCACTTATTGGGTGCCCTGGCTTGCCTTGTTCATGTGTAACTTTGTTATATTGTAGCCTCAGTACCCAAGTACACAAGTCTTTGATCATCGGCTTCAGCCCCTGGTTATAGTTCTTGACTACTTCTTCGGATCAAACTTGTCCTCCATTATTTGCTTCAGATGCTTTTGTTCCTACTCTCATCCTTATAATTTTCACAATGCCAGTAACAGTCCTCTGTTCACAAGCCATGATCATGCGTTTGTATCATATTTGGAAAAGTTTCCCCATTTGTAATGACATTTCTCTCAAGTGTTCAGCTCACCATAAACTCCATTTCTCTTTCAATGATTTCTTGCTCACAGACTTTCT